AAGGAGAGGAAGAAGGAGAAAAGTAAAGGTAAAAATTACGAACAACAAAAAGACATAAAATACATACCTACCAATAAGTGAATCTAAAACTCAAGTGAATAAAAAATCTGAAGAACAAAATGGACTGGTGAACATAATAGAATCAGGGACATAGAAAAGGACTGGACTAACAATTGTCAGGGGAAGGGAGTCTGAGGGGTGAAGGAAGAGATTGGACAAATATCTTACACCTATGGATAAAGTCAGGGGCGGGGATAAGGGCATGGGTTGGAGTTGGGAATCAGGTAGAGGGGAGCTATGGGGGAAGAAGGGAGAAAGAGGAACACCTGTAATAATCTGAACAATAAGATTTATTATTAAAAAAAATTAAATCATAAAATAAAAATTTAGGAGAAATGATCAAAACTTAGAAGTTAAAACTCAAAATTACAAAACTTTGTAATATTTCTTGCTAGAAATATTACAAAATTCATTTAAAGGAGGCATGCTATAAAGTCAGTTATGGTGCAGAGAAAAAGATGGAAAGCTATCCAAGCATAATCCTGGTTCCCAAACCTGGTGAAAAGAGCAGCAAATATACAGAAAAAAAGGACAAAATCAATCTTACTTTCTAAAAAAAAAAAAAAAAGAAGAATGCTACAATATGGATGAACAGTACCATACAAGTAGTAAAAAATTAATTAAATTAAATTAAATCCAAACCCAAGACATTGTGGTAAGTGAAATAATCCAGATACCAAAGGGCAAATATTATGTGACTACTTCTATGAGGTACTGGAATTCGTCTGATTCAGAGAGACAGAAAGGAGAGTGGGACTGGGGTGATGGGAAGTGAATGTTTAATGGGGACAGAGTTTCCAATTGGAGATAACACTTCTGTGCATGGTGGTGGTGATGATGGCACAGCAATGTGAATGTACTTAATGCCACTCAACAGACACTTTAAAATGGTAAAAATGATACATTTTATATTATGTATGTTTTACCACAATATTTAAATTTTACCACACTTTAAAAACACTGAGACAAAATAATTGAAGAAAAAAGTAAGAAAAATCTATAACAGGAATAAAATTCTGATGGTGGGTGAAGAGGCCAAAACCTGACATGTCAGCAGAAATTGCTGTTTCACTGTGAACCCTGATTCTGTGGGACACTGGGCAACTTGTGTCTGTTTTCTCACCTTCAAGGGGAAAAAAATAACATGAGAAATAATTTGAGAGTAATTATATCTACCTTCCTAAACTGAAGCTATAGCAGGAGAAACAGGATGCTGTGGGAGACAGCACTCCTAAAGTTGATGCGCTAGTCGAGCATAATGAGGCAGTGTGGTTCTAACCCAAAGACAGCTCAAGAGTGCAGAAGAGGAGACAGAACTTCAAGATGTAAGGGGCTAGAATGGGTAGGTTTAAAGGACCAGAACAGAAGAGTGTTTTGGTTTTTGAATAGGCCTTTTTCAGCACGGGGAGCTCTCTTCTGTTCAATTAACTAATGTCTGCTAAGCTTGAGATGTCTCTGGTCCTCCAGCTGCCAAGCAGTTCCCATGCCGAAACCAGTTTGGCTCAGTGGATAGAGCATCAGCCTGTGAACTCAAGGGTCCCAGGTTCGATTCCAGTCAAGGGCATGTACCTTGGTTGCGGGCACATCCCCAGTGGGAGGTGTGCAGGAGGCAGCTGATGGATGTCTCTCTCTCATCGATTTTTCTAACTGTCTCTCTCCCTTCCTCTCTGTAAAAAAAAAAAAAAAAAAAAAAAAAAAAAAAAAATATATATATATATATATATATATATATATATATATATATATATATATATATTTGGTAATGCTTTAGAAGGCTGTTCAACAGTATCTATGGCAAACCTTGGGTGCCAGGTGCTGCTATATGGCTCAGGATCAGAACCTGTGGGTCACTGGGAGAAGCAGAAGGCTAGGGTATGTAGACGGGCCAGCCCTGGTGCTGGTGGCCTTGAAAACATTATAGAATTTGGCAATGAAAGGAAATAGAAAGACTTATAGTAAGTAGAAGAATAAAGGACAATTGATTGGATATACCGTGATTTTCTCTTCTAAGCTCATTCAACAGTATAGACAAGGCACAGGTTAAGTACCATTCTATTGAAGGCAGGGGGAATAGCCTATACGACCTCTGGGTGACCTCTTCCAAGAACTCTACATCTTTTATTCTTTCGTGTGTGTCTGGGTTTATATACTTTTATTTTTTTTAATTTATATTTAATGTTCAAAGTATTACATGTCCCCAAAACTCTATACCCGTGGTCGGCAAACCGTGGCTTGCGAGCCACATGCGGCTCTTTGGCCCCTTGAGTGAGGCTCTTCCACAAAATAACACAGCCTGGGCAAGTCTATTTTGAAGAAGTGACATTAGAAAAGTTTAAGTTTAAAAAAATTGGTTCTCAAAAGAAATTTCAATCATTGTACTGTTGACTAATGAGTTTGCTGACCACTGCTCTATACCATACACACACACACACACACACACACACACACACACACACACACTGAGTGGCCAGATTATTATGACCACCCCATCAGTATTTCATTGGGGGCCACCTTTTGCCTTCAGTACTGCGGTGATTCTTGGCATTGACTCCACAAGATATTGAAAGTGATGCAAGGAATCTGACACCATGCCTGATGAATAACACTGTACAGTTCTGTGAGATTTGATGGTTGTGGAACCAGCTGCCTGATGGCTCTTTTAATTTTGTTCCACAAATGCTTAATTGGATTGAGATCTGTTGACTGTGGGGGTCACCTAAGCAAGGTAAAGTCTCCCTCATGTTCTTGAAACCACTGCCATGCACCGTGGCATGGCACATTGTCTTGTCGGAAGAAGCCATATCCATTGGGATATGCCATCAACAAGATAGGATGAACTTGATCAGCAACAATACTTAGGTATATTGTGCTATTCAGACATTGTTCCACACGAAGTAAAGGGCCCAAATCATATCAGGAAAACATGCCCCAAACCATAACACTGCCCCCATGAACTTGAAGGGTTGTACTTATGCATGTGGGGTGCATGTTTTCATGCTGTTTCTGCAAAATTCTCACTCCACCATCTGCATGATGCAACTGGAAACGTGATTCATCAGACCACATGACTTTTTTTCAATGCTCGACTGCCCTATCCTTGTATTTCTGTGTGAATTTGAGACATTTTATCTTGGTAACTGCAGACAGCAAAGGTGTTCAAACAGGCCTTCGGCTTCCATAGCCTGTATGATGTCGTGTACAGCTAATTTGTCTACAAATGTCAGGTGGTCATAATAATCTGGCCATTCAGTGTATATATATATCATATATATCTTATCTAATAAAAGAGTAATAGGCAAATTGACCATCACTCCAAGACACAAGATGGCCACCCCCATGTGGACACAAGATGGCCTGCATGGGAGGGCAGTTGTGGGCAGTTGGGGTGACAAGGCCAACAGAGGAGGGCAATTGGGGGAGATCAGGCCAGCAAGGGAGGACAGTTGGGGTGCACCAGGCCTGCAGGGGAAGACAGTTAAGGAGGGGCCAGGCCTGCAGGGGAGGGCAGATGGGGGGGACCCAGGCCTGCCAGGGAGGACAGTTGGGGGGTACCCAGGCCTGCAGGGGAGGGCAGTTGTGCGGGACCAGGCCAACAGAGGAGGGAAGTTAGGGGGGATCAGACCTGCAGGGGAGGACAGTTGTGGGCGATCAGGCCAGCATGGAGGGCAGTTAGGGGAGACCAGACCAGCAGGGGAGGGCAATTGGGAGCACCAGGCCTGCAGGGGAGGACAGTTGGGGGGAGACCCAGGTCTGTGGGGGAGGGCAGTTGGGTGGGACCAGGCCAACAGGGGAGGGCAGTTAGGGCAATTGGGTCAGCCATGGAGCAGTGAGGTGTTGATCAGGCTGGAAGCGGAGTGGTTAGGGGGGTGATCAGGCTGGCATACAGAAGTGCTTAGGGGCAATGAGGCAGAAACAGGTGAGCAGTTGGGAGCCAGCAATCCTGGATTGTGGGAGGTATATCCGACCACCCATTTAGGCCCGATTCTGGTGGGGTCCCAGATTGGAGAGGGTGTAGGTTGGGCTGAGGGACACCACCCTGTGCACGGATTTCGTGGACATGGCCGCTAGTGTGTGTGTGTGTGTGTGTGTGTGTGTGTATTTATTTATTTACATATGTGTGTGTGTTTTTATTGATTTCAGAAAGGAAGGAAGGAAGGAGAGAGATAGAAACATCAATGATGAGAGAGCATCATTAATTGTCTGCCTCCTGCATTCCCCACACTGAGGATTGTGTGTGTGTTTTTATTGATTTCAGAAAGGAAAGAAGGAAGGAGAGAGATAGAAACATCAATGATGAGAGAGCATCATTAATTGTCTGCCTCCTGCATTCCCCACACTGAGGATTGAGCCTAAAACCCAGGTATGTGCCCTGACGGGGAACTGAACCTATAAACCTGGTTTATAGGTCAACACTCAACCCGTGAGCCACATCGGCCAGGCACTCTATAGCTTTTAAATGGTCTCAAATCAGAAAGCCTCCTTATCTCAGTCGGTTAAGCATCATCCTGATTCACCATAGTTGTGGGTTTAATCCCCAGTCAGGGCACATACAAAAAGCAACCAAGAATGCATAAATAAGTGGAACAACAAATCTATGTTTCTCTCTCTCTTTTCCCCTTTCATCTCTCCCCTTCTCTCTAAAGTCAATCAATCAATCAATCAAAATTTTTAAAAAGAAAGAAAAAAGAAAGCTTCCTTGAAGCTAGGCAGAAGGTATAGGAGGAGGGCTGGAAAGCAAAAGAGAAAAGGAGGAGAGTGGGAAAGGACAGAGGTAAGAGGGCTTTCTCTCCTCTATTTATTGCACCCCAGTCCAGCTAGAAAAGTGATGCCCCTTCTACAGAACTGTCACACAAGGTGGGCTGGTCTTACTGGTCTTAAGCATAAATAAGCTGGTCTCAGATGCCCTTGCTTCCCACATCCCTCCTCCAGAAGCATCTGACCTTAGGATCCATGGCACAGGCAGCTGGAGGCTTGATTGGATTCTGGTTCACAGGTGTCCAAGGCAGCAGACTGGAGGGGGACACATAGACACACAGGGTGGGTGCTGGGTCCCTGTAGTGATAGCCCTCTGGGATCCTCCTGAAAGAATCAAGAATGCTGTCCTGAACTCTGGCTTTGAAGCACTCCAGCCCCAAAGTGGGCTCCCCTCGCCATCCCACCAGCTTGCCTTGGATGGCCACTTTCCTCAGTAGAGACTCGCCAAGGTGCTGAGGGCATCCCAGGCTCCACCCTCCAGCCTCAGGGTTCACTCTTCCATCCAGCTCACTGAGCAGGCAAGGAGAGCAGTCTGATTATGAATACTGTTTAAGTAAATACTTACATTAGTGAGTTTAGCTAATAAGGCATACCTAGAAGTTTTTAGGAAATCCATTTTATTATTACACTAATAGGGCCACTACAACTTTTCCTTTTTAACAACAAAAGTGAAAGGAGTTTTAGGGATAAAAATAGGCATGTTTAGGGAGTTTAGGAATAAAGAAGGACCATGGGGGAGGAATGCATAGGTGAGGGCTTGGAGCTGCCAGAAGGCACACATTCACAGAGGGGAGAAAAAAAAGTGCCACAGCATAAGGGGAGAAGAAGACATCCATTTACAGAAGATAAGGGAAAGCCACAGGGTATAAGAGAAAGAGGAAGACATTCCTTCACAGGAGACAGAAATGTTACAAGATGGGGCAGGGGAGGGGGGGAGAGAAGGGGCACTACGTGGGGGTTGGGCTTTGACGTGGGGGTTGGGCTTTGACGCTACAAAAGAGTGACCAATTGGAAGGCAACATCAAGAAACACAGAACTACAGCCTTTACAAACCTTACCAAAAAAGAACTTAGTGGATTACCCCCTTGAGACCCCCTCCCTTCGTAGGAGTCTGTATTTACTTCTAATTTCTACCCTTTTCATCTACCAACTTTTGTCCATGGCTTAATTCTTCGAATCCATCTAAAAAAAGGATCCGGGAAAGAAATCACCCTTGCATTCTGCTCAGGAAAACAACCCAAATCAAAAGCAACAACCCATCCCCTGAGCATACTAGTATAACAGTTCTCAGAGCTCCACACTATCACCATTTTGTTACACACAGCATGCTGAGAAGCAGGCCTTGTACAGTGCTGATGTTGACTTAGTAGATGAGAAGATAAGGTTTGGGGAGTAAGAGACAGTGAGGAAGGCCAGATAAGATGATTTGTTCATATAGAAAGAGTTCCTATAAAATGTTTATAACAAAAGAGAAAGAATGCATAGTTGATAATTACACCAAAGATTAAAGTTCCATATGGCATATATCCCAACTAAATAAACCATCATAAACAACTGACCAGACAAAAGTCAACTGAGGATTGAATTAAAAAGATTACATCCATAAAAATGGAATATATATAACCATGAAAAGGAACAAGAGATCTGTGAGTGCATCCATACAGAGATGTCCAAACTGAACAAAGTGAGTAGACTCTGGAGCTCTCGGCACGGAGACTTGCCATGGTGCTGAGAACATCCTGGGCTCCACCCTCCAGCCTCAAGAGTCCACTCATTTTAATCCTATTTTAAAATGCATTTGCGTGTGTGTGTGTGGTGTGTGTGTGTGGTGTGTGTGTGTGGTGTGTGTGTGTGTGTGTGTGTGTGTGTGTGTGTATGTTTTCAAACAAAATATTAGGGAGAGCAGCAGGTTATCCACAAAAATCTGCTCTGACCCCTCTTGCCAGTTGGCTGGTTATATACACACCAAGAAGAAGACAGTTACTTACAGCTTCGAGCTACAGGTGTAAAGATTATTGTGTAGGGCAAAACCTGTCAAATCTGGCAAATTCTTGCGGCTCCTAAATACACAGGCCGTAAAAAAAAACAACAAAGAACAGACAACCACTATCTTCAGAAAAAAAAAAAAGAGCAAGTCTCTATCGCCCACCACACACCTCAAGGTCACTCAACATCACACCCCATCCACCCCTGGCCCACCACTTAATCACCTATCTGACTTTGAATGTGGCCCTCATTTTGAGCTTGTTTAATGCAGGCAGTGTTTGGGGCTAGAAGAACAATGATACAAATGACCCACAGGTCCCCGCTCCATTGAAGCATATTTACCAACAACACAAAGAACTATAAATACAAACACTCTTTTTAAAAGTGTGTACTGTTATAAGAACTCAATCACTGATGTAGCCATCAAAATTCATAGTGCCTATGAGAGTGGGGAAGGACATGTAATGAGAATAGAGCCACAGTTGTCTAATAATTATTCACCTCACTAACTATAGATAAGACGTTTTCTTATAGACCTTGGGAAACCAGGATGAAATAAGACTGTAAAAAGATAAGATGCCTCAATGGGCCTGTTACTCAGAAAATAAATATATATTTTTAAAATACTAGTATATCTTTATTGATTTCAGAGAAGAAAGGAGAGGGAAAGAGAGATAGTAACATCAATGATCAGCGAGAATCATTGATTGGCTGCCTCTTGCACATCCCCTACTGGTATCAAGCCCGCAACCCAGACCCTTGACTGGAATCGAACCTGGGACCTCTCAGTCCGCAGGCTGATGCTCTATCCTCTGATCAAACCAACTAAGGTAAGAAATACATTTTGAGACAGACCAAGGACAGGGCACGCTTTGATTTGGTTGCTACACCTGGACCCTGACCCTCTCTGGGAGTTTTTCTCAGGAATGCTGACCATGCTCCGGTCCCAGGAATGGGCTAAGCTGTTTGTAACATCAAAGATTAGCCACCTGGTTATCAGACTTTGAACTCCTGAAGGCCGGACTGCAGACTCTATCATCCCCTTTCCATGGTACATTTTTAGGTCCCAGCTACATGTAACTATCTTCTCCCTGGTGTGTATATAACCAGCCAACTGGCAAGAGGGGTCAGAGCAGATTTTTGTGGTTGACCTGCTGCTCTCCCATTCTGCTGACATTATTGGAATAAATGCTCACATATGATTCAACCCTGTCTCTGTTTAATTGGCTCAAGTAGTGGCAGATAGCCCAGACCCCTCGGTTGTCTAGTTATACCTACTGAATATCAGGAAAAACTATATGTAATATATAGATATCCATATATGTTTTTAGAGATTATCTTTATAAAGATACTAGAGGCCTAGTGCACAAATTTGTATATGGGTGGGGTCCCTCGGCTTGGCCGGCAATTGAGGCCTATCAGGGGACCAACTGGCCTGGGTGAGGGACTCCGAAAGGTTGGAGAGCCAATTCCCGATCGGGGCCTATTGGGGGGCCACTTGGCAGGAGGTAGGGATCACAGGAGGTTGGCCTGTTGGGGATAGGGACCAAGGGAAGTTGGCTGGGGGGGCAGCAGGAGGTTGACTGTGGAAGTGCATTGACCACCAAAGGGTGGTCAGTGCGCGTCATAGTAACTGGTTGACCTGTCGTTCCAGTTGTTTGGTCATAATGGTTGCTTAAGCTTTTATATACAGTAGGTCCTCGGGTTACATCAGAGATCCATTCCTATGGCACAACATAATGCAATTTTTGCCGCAAGTAGGAACCCACCTACATAAGCACCTATGTCACTCACATGGAGCACATGCATAGCAGTAATGAAATGAAACAGTAAAAAAAAAAAATGTAAGAGAAACCAAGATGGCGGCATAGGGTAGGCACCCGAATGCAGCCTACCACAACAAATTTGAATTTAGAACTGGAAAACAGGGGAGGCATTGCCCTGAAGCGCTGGACAGTTAGCTGAGAGGAAGCTCTGCCATCTGGGAAGAAGAGAGAAGGCACGCTGAACCTCAAGAACTGTGAAGGTACAGAGAACTGTGTGCGTGAAAAGGCTTGGACTTACTCCTGGCGCGGGCAGAGGAAGGGCGCTGGCTTACTCCCGGTGCGCACGGAGAGGGAGCCAGGGTGAGTTCGCTACTGGCTTACTCCTGGCGCGAGGAGAGGGCGGACAGCTAATGCTTGGCTGGCTTTCTTGTTCAAGAAGAAAACAGAATCAGCCTATTACTCTAATAGACGGCCCCAGACAGGGAGAGGCCAGACCACACATATCAAACACAAGGCCCGCGGGCCAAATCCGGCCCGCCAGGCCTTGCAATGTGGCCCGCACCGCGCTGTCATCACTGCACTCCGCTGCGTTCCATCACAATGATGCGCGGTGACATAGGAGGCTTGTGATCTCGCCAGCGCCGTACTTGCTATCTATTACGCATGCGCATAGATAACAAGTCACGCGAGATTCAGGAGGCGTGACCTATAGTCCGGCATCCGATGTGGTTGTGCGGGTGGCAGAGCAGAGGAGAGAGTGAGTGTGCGGGCATAAAAAATACACAGCAGAAGCTGCCAGTTCCTGGCATAAAGTGCAGGCATAAAAATCGCAACAGAATCTGCTCTCTGTACCCAGCCAGGCATTTATTGACTGACTTTTTTTTTCTCCACTCCATCTGCAGTTTTCAACTTTTTCCTTCTAACGCAGATTTCCAATAAACTATATCTTTTACTGCCAATATTGATCCCAAAATGTCCAGGAAAAGAAAAGTTGACGGTGAAGGCAGACAATTTAATGACAAATGGGAAAATAAATACATGTTTGTGCTTAGAGAGGGCAAACCAGTGTGTATATTGTGTTATGAGACAGTGTCGGTGATGAAAGAGTACAATATACGTTGTCATTTTGACACCAAACATAATGTTAAGTATGGCAAATATACTTTGGAAGAAAAGCATAAAATTGTTAAAGAACTAAAAGGCAAACTACAATCACAGCAGCAAATGTTTACAAAGGCTACAGCGAAAAATGCTGCTGCAGTGAAAGCAAGCTTTATAGTGGCTGAAGAAATTGCCCGTACTTCAAGGTGTTTTTCAGAGGGTGCCTTTTTGAAGCAATGCATGCTAAAAGTGTGTGAGCAAGTATGCCCAGACCAGATACAGAGTTTTCAAAATGTCAGTTTGTCAAGAAACACCATTGCAGATAGAGTTCAAGAACTCTCAGGAAATCTATCATCACAGCTGGCCCAACAGGCATGCAGTTATCTCGCTTTTTCACTTGCT